CGGGGATCAATGAAAAACCAAGAGAGGGCGATGCAACGGAACTACCGAGCGAAACAAGATTAACGCTGGCCGAGCCTGGAGACTCGCTCTCGTATTTGCATATGTCGCCGTAATGGCGTTTCTATAGCCGCGCCTTTCGGACTCGCGCTTTTCTTCCCCACCGCGCGAGCGTAAAGCTTCGAATCGCCTGCTATGATTTCGGACCTCTCTGCCGAAACTCGGCGTGGATGTGACGTGAAACAAATTCGGGACGCGGACAAAAATACTCCGTTGTCGTGTCATCTTTTGTTTTCTAAAAATACGGCACCGCTTCGTGAGATTCGGCGCCTCTCATCCTCGCGGAACTTTTCTAGCCTCGTCTGGCCCGAGTCGAAATTTCGACTATATTAAACCTTTAATTCTTCAATATAGTAAGAGGTAAGATAGTAAAACAGGTTCAATTTTAATTCTAATAATATAACTCCTACTTTGACCCCGTCAATGTCTTAATTTTCCGTTTTCGCTGCTTTAACGTTAAAATAGGGTTTAACGTTAAAATGATGAAGCGTTACAATGAAATCTGTAGAACTAAAGGTCGAAAAAAGAAGTTAGAAAGTATTAATATTGTCAAAGTAGGTTTTCATTAGTCTACAAGCGGTCTAAGTAGGCGCAAACTATCCTTAACACTGAAAACTGCCGACGATTAACGTGCACCTCTCTATCGGGAGCGGTTTAAGTGAGATTTTTGAAAAATCACGCGGTGCAAACGGAGAAAATATTTATTCGTTAACTTACACATTGTGACCAAAAATCACGGTTAATCTCGGAGAATGCGCCGTTAGAAATTGAAATAACGTTTATAAGAAAGATATTACCGACCGGTCATTTTGTCCCCTTCGGTAGTTTTGGTGTTAAGAGCGTCAGAGTAGCATGAAGATTTCGACTCGGCGAGCCGCGTGGAGGACAGCGCGTTCGCAGAATCGATTATTGACACGTTACTCGCAAACGTTTGAGCAGCGTAATTCGTGTAAATATTGAAACGCGCGTGGGGGCCGAGCTTCGCGGGATTAAATCTTCACGGCTTTTATTCTCGCGGTGTGTTAATCATTGGCAGCGCGCGCGAGCCCTCTTACTCATCCGCTCGCACCTCCGCGAGGGCACGCGACGGAAATTTACTACGGAATAATACTGCTTTGCGGTAGGTCGCTGCTTTCAACTTCCAACCGCGCAAAGCGGCGGTACGTAGGTGTGTCACCTCGCGCGCAGGGCCGGAAGCCTACCGCTCGTTTCTCGCCAGCGAGCTGTACAACCTTCCGACTCGATCGCTACTGTTACGTGAGTCAAGCAGCCTCCACACCGAGGGAGGAATCCGCTCGAATTTTCAAATTCCTCGAATTCAGCCCGGTGTGTCAATCATGACGAGTTAATTGAGCGATTCGCGGCTTTTCCGTGGAGAGCGTTTACTTCAACCCTATACTGAGAAATATCCATTTAATTAACTCAAACAAGATGCTTGCTTAAACATGGGTAAACAAATGCTTCGCTTGCGAGGAGTTTGATTCTCCGAAACGAAAATGGAGAAGGTTTTGATTCGGGGAACCAAAGTTTGGCTCTATAATTTGTTCTTACTTTGACCATTGTGATGTCTTTCGTTTTTCTATTTCCGCCGTTTTTCCGCGTCAAAATCGGTTGTTTTGAATTCTCGTACGACTTCAGTAGTCGGAATATCGAAAACATTTATAGCCTCAAGGTGGCATTAAAATTAAACGTGTAGAATTAAAGGTTCAAACGAGAAGTTAATAAATAGCATCGTCAAAATGAATTTTTACTCATATGTACAAAAACATTTAGTTGTTTTATATTATACAGCACAACATTCATGTAACTATAGTATTTTTCTAATAAAAAGTCAAACGTGTGTAATATTTTCAAGTAAAATTATAATAGTTTCGATTATAATTTTTGCACGGTCCAATAATACATAAATTTTATTGTAATTTTTATTATATTTTCTCCGTAATAACTTCATATAAACTCTGTATAAACCATCCAAATAAGTACAAGTCATCCTTCAAAGTAACATCCGTCAAAACAGCATCAAAATTGACACACGAAAATGACATCTCCGTTGTTTATTGATTGATTGTTAAACGTTTATTAATCGTTCTAGGAAGTCTTCTAAGAACGTAGATAGAACAACAGTAAAGTTTTATTATCGCATGTACAAAACATCTCAATATAAGGAAAACGTTTAAACATTTTGGGGGCCTAAATATGGCGACCTTAAAGGAAATCGGAAAAAATGATTGTAAAAAAATTTCCACGGTATTTCTCCTTCGAAATCATTCAAATTGTATTCTAAATATTTCTCATACTATTAAAAGCATTATTCAGGTGTTTTCCTTACGCTGCAATATCTGTATATAAATTAAAGAATATAGATAGATAGATTAAAGAAGCTTTGAAAAATAAACTAAATATGATTTATTTGCGGTAATGGAAACGCAAAATTCGTGCGAAATACATTTCACCACACTAGCGACATGAAAAATTGAGCTCGCCGAATTTACAGCGATATCAACGTCGCATTAAGAAATACCAAGATATCGTGGAATCTCATCGATAATTGATTCCTGGTCTGCGACGTGTAGTTTCCGTTGATTTTATAACAATACGAAAGGCAAACACACGTGCATACCGAGTGCGTTAATCATGCTCGAGCGCGTTTTATCTTTTCCTTCTCTCTCTCTCTCTCGTTCTCGCGACCGTCGCGACGTCAATTCCGCGCATTATTCGCGTCCATAGTGTGGCGCGAAAGGGATATTTTTAACGTTTATACAGATACTTTATCTCATTATAATTCACCCACGCGTTCACTGCGACTGCGTTAGTTGCCGTAACGATCTCCGGCGGCCAGCGAAGGCGAACTCCTCTTCCTCATCCGCTTCCTCATCTTGTTTTGTTCTCCGTGTTCGCTCGCATCCTCCTCTCGCCTGCGCGTTTTTACACGCTCTTTGGATTACATTTCTGCCATACTTCTCATCTGCTATTTTCTCGCCGCGCGAATGCACCCACTTGTTCCTCGAACAGTCAGGTCGTCCTTTACGCGTATTAAAATGCGCGTCTGATGAGACGCGAGCACTCTAGACACAATTTTCAATAATAATTGTAATAAATCTTTATTTACGGGACAACTCTTTGGTACGCAATAAACAGATAGTAAAAAAGAAGCATAAATAATAAGGGAGTTATATTAATATACAGTATATGAATGCGCCAGAATAGGAGTGAGATGAAGAATAAAATAAATGCGAAATAAGTAAATAGAAGGGATAAAATAAATCGAAAATAAAGAAATATGAAAATAAAGTGTAAAATGTAAGCAGGGCTCATAAGTTCGCACGCATAATGGCACTTGAAGGCGGATGACGTTCCATGAAAGAAATCTACTGAAGTTGAATACGTAATGTCAGCAGCCATGCACGATCCGCTCGCTTTGATTCACTCCACTATTCACTGGTTTACAGTGAGCGGTTCGTTCCTTCGCCGAGACTTTTCCCTTTCTTTCCGCCTCGAGAGGAAAACTGTCGCGGAACAATTTCGCGCGATCGACAAAATCATCGTCCTTATATTACACGTGTGTCCGAGAGGCGGGACAAACGCGGTAGAAAGGCGGGCATCCTAAGCATCCTTTTCATGCGACCTGGGATCTGAACGCAATTGGTAGGCACTTAGGAGCGAGACAGTTCATTTGCATGTCTATAAGTGGCATACGTGAATACATATATGAATACATACATGAACGCATGGCTACTTACGTAAATTCGTGTCGTCGACCTCGCGTGACTTCCCGTAGCTCAGTTTCATCGTTTTTTCCCCTTGAACGAGCGTCACAATGATGTCGTCGTCGTCGCGTTACATCTAACTTCGAAGCGCGCTTGCGAAACGACCGAATCCGCAAAATGTCGGGATTGCAGAATCGTTGCTTCTACCAGTTGCGTGTGAGAGCACGCAAACATGTCTCACCGACATTCGAATATCCAAATCTCCAAGCTTAGGCTGTGTCTGATCTAAAATTCAGACTGTACGTATGTAAGTACCACACATATTTGAGCATCTCAGGTACGACTATTTGAGCATCTCAGGTAGGACTATTACATCTGACAATTTCGAATATTCGAAGTTTCAAAAATAATTCCAAGGTTCGAAGCTTCTTTCGAAAATTCGAAGTTAACTTCGAGCCTCCGAATCTCCGAGGTTGTCAAAGGTAGCAGCCTTAGTTCCCGGCATTTAGATTGTCCGAGAGCTCGGATTTTTCGGCCCTCAAATTGAGAAAAAGCAGAAACAGCCGAGAGGCTACGTCGAACGTAGGGCGCAGCCCGTAAATTCGACACGTGAAATACGAGCGTTGCGCGCTGTTAGCGCGACTAATAGCGTTCTAAGAGTCGTTGATTAATCGAAGAGCGAACTAAAAGATGCATCGATGCAACTACCGGCGCTGCCGCGCGCGCCGCGGGTGAGATACTCCGGCACGGAGGCGGAAAATAAAGACATCGGCCGCTCATTCGCGAGGACTACCCGCTGCTAAGGGAATCGATAAATCCGCCGCGGCGATATCGATACTGATGGCTACCCGCGTTTTATCGCCCGGCGGATACGCGATCGCCCGGCGCTCTCGATTATGAATTCCCCGTCTCCTCCTCGTCTCTCAGCGGGGCCACTGACTTTCCGGGAGACGCCTCCCTCCCCCTCTACATCCGGAGATTTTTCTGCGATGAATCTCGCGCGTTTGCCGCGTTTCTCCTTTCCAGTACAATTTCGTGAATTGTTTCTCGCAAATGTTTCGATTGCACGTCGACAGATCGGCGAAACTATCTGGTCACGATGGAGAGATCTTTTATCCTCCGAATATTGTTTTCACTTTGAAATTATAAATGCTAATTTATAGTTTCGCCAGTTTGTCATTTTTCCTCAATTTTCTCGCGATTGTAATGCTAATTCGTGGTTTGGTAATTTTACAGAAATCGAGGCGCAAGAGGCATGCAAATGGCTGAGAGCCGCCGGCTTCCCGCAGTACGCGCAGATGTACGAAGGTGGGTGATCTTTACGATAAGCGTCTCAGGAGTAATAAGCAATTATGAGGCGCGTTATTCAAGACCCCGTTGATCCGGCGAAAATCCCTTCAAATTGCCCCGAGATTGGCGCACTGAATATCGTTAGCCGCGAATTGAAAAGGACTAATTTAAGATGAAATCTAAATCAGTCCGGACGCTCGAGGACTTGGATATCCTGCGAGCAGATAATGGGGATTAAACGGGGCGGGATGACCTTTTGTTATTCTCGGAATTCCTAATTTACTTTCTCGCGAGAGGAAAATAAACTTTCGATCTCTCGGAAAGCTCGGAGTTATGTCGTTTAATGTCAGCCAGTAATAATGATGTCGTCGTTGTCGTCGTCGCGTATAAATTCCGGTCAACGTTGTCCCAATTAGGCGATACCATCGTCGGTCAAATTTTCATAATATTTTCCAAACACGTTTTTAGCACACGTGTTCTGCTTCACGTGGGTGTCTTATTTTTGTCTCACGCGGCGTAACGCGCAGATGTCGCGTTCTCAAGAAGGGATAAGCGGGGAAAGTAGCGTCGCCTTTCAGGATCTTTTTCAGAAAGGGTTGTTTATCGTCGAAAAGCCAGAGGGCCGTGAAACGAGCTTGACGGGCGACAGCGGTGCTCAATTGAAAGTTCGCGACAACGTCGCTGAAGACAAAGCGAATAATATTTCGTTGGTCCATCAGAGTATTTTCTGCAGGCATCCTTTTAAACGTTAGCTCCATATTGATGGAAATCCTATCTGCACGTCTATAAAGTTAAGAAACAATTGACACTCCGGAACTGAGATACCCGTGACTCGAGATGACACTTTTTACACGTGTGTCTACGGGTTAACGTTTTTTAACCTCTAATTTTAATTTTTTCCAAATCACATTTGATATTTTAAACGGTTACTCGCGAAGCGAGCACGCGGTTTCTCTCGGCGCATCGACGGCAGCTTAGCGGCGAGACGCTGCGGAAGGCGGGAACAGTAACGAGCGACACGTAGGCAGACGCGGATCGGTCGCGCGCTCGCTCGAGAGAGTAAATTATTAAGAGGGCAGCTTGATGCGCCCGGACATGTTAATACGGCTCATAATGTGGGCTCTTTGTCGCGCGGCGCCGGTGCCAACAATGCGTTCGTTATTGCGGTACCGTTGCATTGTTGCAGCCGCATTTGCGCCGCGGATGCAGTCTTACCACGCCATTAGCGAGCCATTGTTTCACGCTCCTCGCAGGAGGATATACGCGAAGGACTCGCGCGACGCCTCGGACCGATCAGGCCAGTCGTGTTCCTTCCTTTCCGAAGCGTCGCTTCAGGCTCGATCCTTTCTGTTAGCTTCGTAAAACGGCTTCGAAATAACACCAAGGGGGGACCACCAAAGCCGACCTGCCATTTTGTTTTTCGGCTTTGAAGTTTTGTCGAATGTGTAAAATGCAAATTTATGCGCGCGGATGCAAACCGGGAACTCATTTCTATCAAAATATATGATCGTTTTGTGAAAATTATTACGCATTTCCTTGGAAATAACTATCATTTAAGATCATAAAACTTGACGAAAGGTCTGTAAGAGCAAATAAACAATTGCGAGAAATTATCTTGCAGAAGCAAAAAACGTTCTGAAGCGTTTCGATCGTCGACTTACGATTTTCTTCAGCGAAGCGCAATATAATTATGATGAAAGATCGAAGGACGCTAATAACACAACCGAACGCGAACAGAAACTGCCCCAACTACGTTCATATACTGTTCGATAGATTTGAGCAGCTTTACCGAGAAACATGGGTAATGTCGGCTTACCGTACCTATGTCAATTTTGGTGCTTTCCTCCACAGTATCGGCGGTCGAAATGCAAGAAATTTCATTCCCGCGACTCCACCACGGACCACCCAGTGCTTTAACGTTCGTCGTCCAGGGAGAATCGCAAAAGCGTGAAACATTACACCTTACTCCGAAGTCCTTCTCCTGTCGCGCTTGTACGCCGTGATTAATCACGAGGGCTCCGCAAAGATAAACGCGTGTAACGCCTCACTTTGTGAGCCGCCGACGGAAAATTGTGGGCAAAAATTTCATTCATCAGGTCGCGCTTTGCGCTTCACCTGCACCCCGGGCCGAGTAAAATATCCGAGGTTTAACGATTTCATTCCGCCGGGGGATGGATATCCCCCGGTGACATAAATCTCGTCTTACATTGTGGCGTCTGGCCGGGAGGTGGTTAGATCCGCGTGGTAGATGTAAATCAGCGCGGCTAGGCCAAGTGAAAAATCACGAGGGACATTAATCACCGTCCGCGGCGGCGTCCGGGTGAATATTATTCCCGCGTTAGCTCTTGAAATTGAAGAAAGACCTGGAATTACTCGCCGCGCCAAGGACGTTAATGACTGCTGAACACGAGGTATTAGTCCTTTCCCTATGTACACCCGGCTTAATGCCTTCGCGCGCGCGCACGATACGTTCTCTCTCTCTCTTTCTCTCTCTCAGCCAGGTCCGAGTAACTTCGTTTTACCTGGCATGATACGTGGCAATGTGTGTGCGCGCCGGAGAAGAAGAATACCGCGAAGCCTCGCGCCAGATTTACGGGGCGCGCGGACCCCGGTGAAGTTATTTCTACGGTAAACTTTTTCTCAGTCCGTTTGGGGTTCATTAGCGCGTCGATAATCGAGCTCGGCCGAAACAGCGTCTGGTTTCACGATACAATTTTTGCGCAACATTCGCTCTTTCTGGGAATGCCCGGTGAAATCGGGAAGCGAGAAGGAACGAAAGAATCGGAGATCGTCCTGTCAATTAAAAATTTCACGAGTTAATTAAAAGTTTCGTATCTTATAGACGTATCGAACTTTCTCTCCTTATCAGTACAGTTGTTTGTTAACGTGGGTTTAATCAACAAGTTTGACATTTTGTGTGTGTGCGTGTGATTATGATTATTATGTAGATTGCACGTTAAAACATCACGTAATATTATTAACGCATCAATTCTGGTTATCCCGATTTCGCTGATCGGGAGTGTAGGAAAATTAGATAACAGCTTATTCAACTTGTATCGCTACACCGTAAAAGTGTCCACGGGAATTTTGTGTTACTTTAACACGGGGCGTTAGAAAGTAGGCAAATATGTGAAATGTTAAATTAACCGCATTCACCTTGTCAACAAGTATTAATTTAACGTCATATTTGTGTACTGTTAACACATTCTCCGTTGTGTGTAATGCGAAACTTCAGTGGAGCCTTTCTAACACCAAATTTTTATTACGTAATAGCTCTGAAGTGTTCGCAACGCGTGAAGACTGAGCGGAAGACGCGGTTTAACGAAATCGCGGTGTATTATTTAAGCGCGACTAGTGGCCAGATTTTTCGACTCGCTAATAACTCGGCGTTACGCGTAACTGCAATTTGCAAGTTTAATAAGTTACCTCCATTATAACTGTAAATTTATGTGCCTCCGGTCACGCTATCGAGAAGTACGCGGGAGAGCAAGATATGCGCGCGCGAGCAAACGCGGGAAATAAAATTTTCCATTTGACGACACGTCGGCGTATCGTGAGTCCCCGGACTTCGGACTGGAACAGCACGATTGGGACGATCCCTTTTATTTTCCTATCTTGAAATAACACGACGATCGTACAAAGCGCCGTTTTCAAAAGTTCTCACTTTCCATGCTAACCGTTCTCAGGGGAAGCGCGTCACTAGGACTGTCATTCCTTTGAAAAGCCGCGAACGCCGGAAAAACTCGACCGGAAAAAACCCGGGAGCTTCTCCCTCCGCTGTAATGTAATATCGAGCGGGTAACCGGGATAGACGTGTTAATAAGTTAATTCGCAACGTTGAGTTCCATATGATATTGCTCGATTTTGTACGTCGGAAAAAGTCTGACGATAGTTAACAAATTCATGTGCCAAATGGCTGAGCGTTTCAGTGCGATATTTGGTAATAGTGATTAACTGCTTGATAATAATTATAAAATAGTATAACACAAAATTGTCATTAAATCGAAGCATTTTTTTTTTCGAACGAAATTATCGAGTAAAAATATTACATAAATAATAATAATTATGCCAAATAGTTTCTCACTTTTACTCAGGTATTTGGTAACTATTACTGAATAATCTTGATAATAACATCACGTAAGAGGACTAAAGAGAATGTATCGGATCGAGAGCTCAAAATAACTTAGGACACAGCCACCTGGCGAGCGGGGGTGGTCCCGGTTCGATTCCCGACCCAGCCACCGTGAACTCGTTTTTCTTTCCAATTTTTACACAGCCTAAACAGTGAGAAGGGGACTTTCCAGAGTTCTCGAGGCGTTTCAAAATCGCAACAATTTAAATTCAGCGTTAACGTCGCCCAAATATTATGACGAATCTTTTGCACATTTATATATTCTCTTTTAACTATTGCTGAATAAAATAGTTTTATTTAACAAATCGTTTGGTAATACGTACTACATAAACTGGTGACAGATATCAAGTTTTGGCGACAAATATCAAGCCTTGCTGAGATCGCTTGTTCACATTCACTGTATCATTTGGTTATATTCATCTTACATTTTTAATTGAAACTATTTCACCAAATTATTTGGCGAAATTTGGTAACTATGAGCTTGGCAGTTATTATGAAATATTTCTTTCAATATTCATTTATTTAAACGCCGCTCGATAGATCTTTTTATATAACGAGGAGATCTTCTTTATATTTCTCTTTGCGATCGAATGAAAATCACTTTGTCGAATGTTACTGTTCGAATGTCCTGTCGTGTAACGTTTATCAGTCGCTAATTAGCGAACACGCGGATTAACGTCCGTCACGAGGAGATTATTGAGTCGCGGCCTTCCCGTTTCCATTATATTAGCCAACTCAAAGGGAAGGAGGGGACGTTCCGCCTCATGGTGGCGATGACTAAATGCAAACGGACTGACTGCGCGTATGTATTCCGCAACGGCCCCGTAAGCCGCTTGCGACGCGGCGGTGTCCAACGTCGCGTAAAACCCGGCGGGAAAATTTTATA